ATACTCATTAGATGGTCATTCAAGGAAAGTTATATCAGTCAATTTCTCTCCTGATGGTACTACATTAGCATCTGGTAGTTGGGATAACTCTATCCGTTTATGGGATGTTAAGACAGGATAATAAAGAGCCAAATTAGATGGTCATTCTAATTGGGTTTGTTAAGTCAATTTCTCTCCTGATGGTACTACATTAGCATCTGGTAGTGAAGATAACTCTATCCGTTTATGGGATGTTAAGACAGGATAATAAAAAGCCAAATTAGATGGTCATTCTTATCCAGTTTATTCAGTCAATTTCTCTCCTGATGGTACTACATTAGCAACTGGTAGCAAAGATAACGCTATCCGTTTATGGGATGTTAAGACAGGATAATAAATCTCAACCTCCGATAATCGTTATCAAAATATTCTAGCTTAATTTTAACCTTCCATAATTTAAAATAATGTTCTGTCAGATAATGGTATTCATTTTTTATTTACTATTATTTTAGTTAATTCTAACATTTCCATTCTTCTAATATCACAATAACTCATCTTCTAATCACAAGGTGCTTTAATTTTACAAGGACAATTTCATAATCCATAAGGCATAGACTTGAGAACATTATTTTAATAAAGAGGAAGCTTAATTTTAGAAAAATTAATTCAACAGTAAAAACATTAAGATTGAAACATTATAAAAATAATTATAAAATATATTTATACAATAACATTACTACTTATTTTATTAATGATTTAGACACATTATTGGATATGGTTTAAAATGCTAATTCCAATGTGAATAATTTGGAATTCAGTTAAGGTTAAGTTTGTACGATACGATAAGGAAGGAAGGACGATGGGAAGTTAGAAAGGAGTGGAGTTTATAGAGATTGCGTGATTGCCCCTAAAAGTAGTTTGAGGCATACAAGAGCATTTTTTGGTACCTATGGTATAAGTCAAAAATTAGATTCTTGCTAGTTTCATCGATGGGGTCGTTTTCCTTACGCGGAATTACAATAGTGAGGGTACTCGCCAGGGGCGATCACCTGCTAATGCATTACACCTCCTTTTCATGCTGGGAGGTATATGAATTCAAGCCTATTAATCGTACTAATCTGACCACATTACTTCACGTATGCAACTCATCGCTAAATTTTGCTTTTTTTTCCCTTTGCTCTCCCAAGAATTTCCTATTAGGTGACTAACATATAATAGAAAATCAATTATCCAAATCATTATTTTAATTATTCTTTTTACAAATCTATGTTAAGACAATCAGAATCGTAAGAGCAAGTGAACATCTGTCTTAGAGAGTTGGATCAATAGATAGAAGTAAAATAAACTCCAATATAATAGAAATCCTACACTAAAATGGATGATGCCATTGCTTCTTTTGAAGATCTGCTTCATCCTTTGGAACCGACACAAAGTAAGCAACAACTCCTTCCAGATCGAGCACCTTAAACTAACCCTTTCAAGGTACAATTGAAGTTGGAAGACATTATCATTCATCAAATGAATG